CTGCCTCGCCCTTCACAAGACCCAGACAGAGGGGCTTCCACAGCCCCCAAGACCCCGTGTGGCGGCCACCACCAGCTGCCACTTGAAGACAAGACTCTGGATTGCAAGGAACACGCCTGCACCCTTTCAAAACCCAAACACAAGCCCTCTCCTCCAGCCCCAGTAGCACAGAAAGTTTGAGTTCTGGGGTCAGAAGGGGGTTCGATTCTCAGAGCAGACACTTCCTAAGGCTGTGACCCCAGGGCAAGTCACTTCTCCACTCCGGAAGATCAGGATGCTAATACACCCCCCCCCCCCAACCAAACATGGTGGCCAGGATGTGAAGGGATCTGCGCTGGGCTAGGGGGCGCCTCTTTCCAGGCCCTCTAGCCCTCCCAGGCCCTGCCAGAAGCCCCCAACTCCAGTCAGTCCTGAAGCTGAAGTCCTCTGGGTGTGCAGAGAGGGGGGCCCCCAACCCACAGAAAGTGGGGGCTGGGGGGTGCTGAACTTTCGAACCCGCAAACCCCCCGCGCCGTTCATTACCTTAACACGAGTTAAAAATAACCGTCTCATCTCTTTAAATTAGTCTGTCTGCAATTACCGCCTGGCACGGCGCTGCCCGCCATCGTCCCGCTGGAGCGGCGCCAGGTGGCAGGCGGGGCCCTCACCCTGTCTGTCCCTCTGTCTGTCTGCCTGCCTCCCCATCCCTTCTTCTCCCCGCAGCTACCCCAGGGGCCTCCCCGCGACCCAGACTCCGGCGCTCCCCAAGTGGCGCAGGGAGGGGGCCGGGCCTGGGGCTGGCTGGCAGGAGCGCGGGGGCCTGCGGAGAGCAAGGGACTGGGGTGGGGGCTCCGGAGCAGGGCGGCGGGGGAGGGGCGCCGGGAGGCCCGGGAAGCCGGAAGGGCCCGCAGCGCGCCAGCGCTCGTGGGTGGGTGTGAGCAGGTGGCCGTGGGAGTCTGCCGGGCGTGCCAGCAACTGTGCCAGGAGCGGCTGGCACGGGCTCGTGCCCAGGAGGCGGGCAGCTGCCAGCCCCCCGCTCGTGCACGGCGGGGGGTGAGGACACCCCCCAACCGGGGCTCACACCGCCTCCTCCCGCACCCCCACCAACCCTTGGGGCTGGGGATCCCCGGAGGACAAAGAAGGAGGAGGGAGCCCTACTGGAGCAAGCTGGAGGGAGGAGAGAAGGGGGAGCCCTCTGCACTCACATCCACTGCTCAGCCCGACTGTCAGAGGACCCTCCTCTTGGCCTCTGACTCAGTCCCTCCTTCCACCCCACCTAAGACCTGCTGCCCAGCCTGGGCCAGATGGGGGTAGCACCCTCCCTCCTGATCCCATCCCCCAACCGCAGAGCTGCTCCAGGCCCTGAGGGAGAAGGGAAGTCCCCATCCACTGTGCTCCTCCCCCATCAAGCCTGGGGACAGGAATGGGAGGTGCCCAGGCCTGGCCTGGGAGCTCCCAGGGGAGCTGGCAGCCAGGAAACACAAAAGCAGGCAGAACAACTCCAGGGGCGCTAAGTGGAAGGAGCACCAGGACCCAGAGCAGTCTGGAAGGCTTCCTGGAGGAGTCCTGTTGCTAGGCAAGGTGGGGCTGGAGCATCTGGGAGGAAGTGGGAGGCTCTACCTGCATGTCTGACCTCCACACTTTTAGGACACCGAAGAGGGAGGGGAACCTCCTGTCCCAGCCCTCTTCCAGGGCCTGCAGACCCTCTGTCCTGAGAGAAACACTAGCAGCCTCTTCGGCGGCAGTGGAGTTCCCAGCACCAAGGCCAGCCTCTCTGCAGGCTTGAGGCTGTTGGGGGTCCTGCACCTGCTGCTGATCTGGCCTCCTCCTGTTCCCATCAGCAGCACCTCTGACTACCTCCCCGAGTCCCAGGTGGGACCACAGGGTGAAAGCCAAGTACCTGGGCCCTTCCTGATCTGGCCCACTCCCTTTCCCATGCCACCTCCCTGCCATTCCTAGGAGCCGCCCAATCCTCTCATCTCCTACAGTTCTGCCTCCTTGCCCTTGCATCTCCGTTCAACATCCCTTGAGAGACTTTCTCACACATTCGGCCCCCAACAAAGACAGCCCAGATCAAGTGCCACCTTCTCTGGGAGGGTTTGCCTGGGCTCCCAGGGGATCTAACCCGCCTTCCCTGTACCTTCCCCCACCTCTGGCCCTTCCTGGCTGTAAAACACACAGCCGGGGTGTGGAGCCCTGATGCCTCCTGAAGGCAGGTCTGATGCCTTCCCCTTTGGTCCCCCACCCTCCCTCTAACATAGGGCTCTCAGTATATCCCAGGGATTCAGGTCCACACTTATGTGGGGGAGGGGAGGGAGGAAGGAAAAATGGGCCCCAGCCCTAGCCCCAGAGGTATACCACAGATTCCACACCCTCTGCTAAAGCATGGGCTGGCTTGGGGCTGGGGCTAGTCCCTCCACCAGTTCTCTGGAGGGACTGAATGGGAATGGGGGCAGGGGTAGGAATGAGAGGAGAAAAAGGATTGGGGGTGGGGTAGAATGGGAAAGGCCAGAGGTCCCTCCGAACAGCCCTCCTCTAGTGTCTGGGTGGTCTCAGCCAGGCCCTGGGTCGGGAGCCCAAGTCTCAGGCTCCCTCTCCCATGCCCCAGCCCAGGACCAGCCTTCCAGGGCACCTTCCTTCCTGAGCCAGGTGCAGGGAGAACCAGTGTGTCCCCAGCAGCGTGGTGCAGTGAAAACCACCTCCAAGGGGCAGGCAGGAGACGGTGGGGCCATCGCTTGGCACCTGCAGCTCACCAACAACCTGAGGAGTTCCACCCCCTTCTGGGGCCTCAGGCTCCCCGTTGTCCGAGAAATGAAGTCCGGGGACTAAATTATCTCCAAGCACGTTCCCAGTCACATTCTGGGATTTAGACCTGCCCCTGTTCAAAAGCTGTCTGTGTCCCCCTCCCACACCCAGTGCCAGCAGGATACTATTCCAGAGGCTGTGTGGGGTCTTGGAGGGAGACACACCTGGATTGGAGTCCAGCTCTCCCATCTACTGACTGTGCAACCTTGGGCAGTTCACTCCTCCTCCACTCTGTGCCTCAGTGCCCAGCTCTGTGAACGGTGAGAGTGAAACCTACCTCAAGAACTGCTGAGAGCATTAAGGAGACACCTGGCACAGATGCCTGAAGGTGGCTGACACCAGGCTCCTAGCAGCCCCTGGATGCCCTGGCTTGGTCCTGAGACCCTCATGAACTGCAGTTCTCCCTCAGCTTCTGGTCTCACGTCTTCTCTTGCCATCTTCCCCCACCATTCCTGGTCCCTCAAGCTCAAGTGGGGCTCCACCCCCTACAGGAAGCCCTCCTGGCTTACTCTGGCCCACAGTACCCTCCCCAGCCTCTGCACCCTCTGCACCAGCCACCCGTTCCTTCACACTCTCACCAGACATTCACCCGTGGCTCCTCGGTGCCAGGCTCTATGCTGGGTGCCATGGGCACGGAGAGTGCTCTGCCACTGCCACTGTCTTCTAATGGTTGGGTGGGGAGGGGAAATGCGACAGGACACAAAAGACTGAGCCCCATCACAGGCAAGGAGAGGACCAGGGAAGAGGAAGTCCTTAGCTTGCTAAAAAGGGTCAGGGAAGGCTTCCTGGAAGAGGCATCTGAACTTGTGCTCTTGAAGACAAGAAATACATCTACAGGGAGAAGTGAAAGGTGGGAGAGTGTGTGGGGACAGGGACGGGGGTGGAAGCAAATCCCAAGGGCAGTACCCACTTAGGAGGAGTAAGTGTTCTCATGGGAGCTGAACCCAAGAAGATGGGAGACTCACGGGTGCTCCTCCAACCTGTACCTCCACCCTGTAGTGGCCAGAGAGAGCCAGAGAAGATGCCAGCATGAAGCCTGAGAGCCATGGGCCCCCAGGTCAGAGTGCTGTGGCCCCTACAATGCAAACCACTGGGCAACCAGAGCTGCTCATGTCTACCAGCCTCCCCTCCTCCTCTGGCACCCCTCCTTCCGCTGACCTGTCTGCAGCCACTACCAGGCACTGCTCCCTCCCTCCATGTAGGCTTGCCTCCCTTGCAGAGACCCCTTTCCCACAGGAAGCCTAACAGCTCCCAGGCCGTAGGCACAGACCCCTCCCTCTCCCCCAAACCTCCTTCTCCTCCTGCAAAGGCATCTACTATCCCCATTCCCCAACAAGATGGTCAGAGGAGGGTCTGGAGGCCAAAATCTAGTCAAGCCCTTGTCCTCTCCCAAGATGGCTCCCCCCTTTCCACTGGATGGCACTGAGGCCTCCCTAGGGTGCCCCTGCCCCTCCCCTCCCCCCAAATGCATCTGGGCTCAAAAAGCCAGGGAAATGGAAGCCAGACAGCCTAGGGTGGGAAGGGACAGATCCCCAGCCCTCAATACCCTGCCTTCATACCGGCAGAGGTCATCCCCAGCCCACCATGCTGATCCAGGGAAAGGGGGACAGCAGCTGCCCCATAGAGAACTCAGATTCCAGGTCACCTGACCAGTTCCCCACCCCAGGCTGGCTGGTGCCCTAGGGTGAACTCTTGGCACCACAGGAAGAAGGGTTCAGGGTTGCACTCCTTGCCCTGGGGCCAGCTCCACGGAATGTAGTGGGAAAGATCTGGGGAGAAGGCAGGCACTGGCCCCAGGCCATTATTCCAGCTCTTTAAGGAGGGTGCCCCGGTGAAGAGGGTAAAACAAGAGTAACACACAAAGCAAACTCGCTGGGTCTCAGAGGGGGCGCCTAATATCCGAGGTCTCCCAGTCGCTTCCTCTGCCATGCCGCCGTGGACAGGGTGGGGGTGTCCCTTGGGGGTGCCTCAAAGTGGCAGTCCCTTGTCACCTCACTAGACCTCCCACCCTGCATCCAGAGCACGCACACAGCTGCTCCCAGCACGCCCCCGCCTGTCTTCGGGCCGGCCCCACTCCCCAGGCACACACTCTGTGACCCCTAGGGGTGCCCCAGGGCCTCCCTCCCGACGGCTCGTCGGGGCCCCGGACGCACCTCGCAGCCCCAGGAAGCCCTAGCCGGCGACCCCAGGCCCCCTCCCCAGCCGGACGCTCCCACCTTCCAGCCGGCCGAGCTGTTGCTGTCGCCTTTATCCTTGAAGTAGGGCACGTAACGGACCATCCAGTCGTAGATCTGCGAGAGCGTGAGTCGCTTGTCTGGGGCGCTCTCGATGGCTTTGGTGATGAGGTCGGCGTAGGACAGGTTCCCCCACGCGTTCCGCCGGGAGCTCTTCGCTTTCCGCAGCGGTCCGACCTCCGCGCCCAGCGGCGGCGCTGGGGCCATCGCCGGGGCCGTCGCCCGGCGCTCCGGCCCGCAGTCCTCGGCGCCCTCTGCCACCCCTGAACCCAGCGCTCCGTCCTCGTCGCCGGCCAAGTCGGGCTGCGGCAGGGGCCAGGTACACGAGCGCGGCCGGCTCTGTGGCGCGAAGTCCGGGTCCACGTCCACCTGATGCGCTCGCAGCTTCGCAGCCATGGTCCCGCCCGGCTCGGGCGAGGAGGGGAGGGAGACTCCGCGGAGGGTGGGCGGGCGGCTCCGGGATCTGCGCGCCCCGGGGAGGCCCGCGGGAGGGGTCCCTGGCGGCGCCGGCTCAACCGCGGGGCGCCATGGGCCGGGACGCGGAGACAGGGGGCTGGACGCTCTGGGAATCCCGAAGGGAGGGAAAGATGGGGGCAGCGAGGGAGCGGCGGCCCCGGAGCCCGGCGGGCACACACCTCGCCCAGCTCCGCTTCTAGCACCTGCCGCCTGCTTGCGCCTGAAGCCACCACCGCCACCGTCGCTGCCGCCGCTCCCCCGGCGCCGGCCCCGCGCGCGGGCCCCGCTCTCCCGGGACGAGGCCGGATTGCACCATGCCGGAGCCCGAGCCCGTGCCGGAGCCCGCGCCGCCGCCGCCGCCGCCGCCGCCCCGTGAATGCCGCCGCCGCCGCCGCCGCCGCCGCTCCGGCTCCAGCGCCAGCTCCCGCGCCTGCCGCGCTCAGCGCCGGCTGCACCTCGGGATGGGCGGGGGACGGGGAGGGGGCGGGCCCGGCGCGGGAGGGGGCGGGGCGTGCCCGCCCGCGGCCACGGAATTCTCTGCTTGCCTGGGTGCCCCGCCTGCGGTCTGGGGGTTGGGGCGCGGGGCTCCCTGCTCCGGGCGACCCCGCGGCAGCCCCGGTGCGCAACAGCGCCGCCTACGGATTAGGGGAGGAGAGGCGGGAGCGACCCCGCCCCCTGCTCGGCGCTGGGGGAGGGGGATGCGGGGGCGGGGCCCGATCTCTCTCATTGGTCCGCAGCCGAGCTGTCCTGCCCACGGACTCGGCAGGATCCCTCCCAGAAGCGCGTCAGCGGGTTATTGTTACAACCCGGGGTTTCCCGGGGCAACGGGAAAGGGGCGGGGCTCAGAGCATTTGGCTCCGCCTACCACTCCCGAGGGGGGCGTATTCCGCCCCCTGATTCTAGACCCCTTGGTTTCCAATCTTTGAAACCTGATAGGGCAGATGATCCAGCTCTCCTTTGTGCCCTGGACTGGGCTGGGGAAAGGAAGGGATCAAGAATATCAGAGTTTGGGGCTACATTGGCCACAACTGCAGCTTCTTCATCTGCAGATGGGTTGGTTCTTCATGGGGTCTTAGGGGACCTGTGGACATAGTTTTAGAGCCTTGGTTCTTAAAGTTTAACGTAACAGAATCAACCTGGAGAGCTTGTTAAAACATTGCTGGGCCCCAGCCCAGTAAGTCTGGGTTGGGGCTCAAGACTTCGCGTTTCTAACAAATTCCCAGGTGATGCACCCAGGAACACACTTTACAGACCAGTTTCATATGCTCAGAAGGGTTTTGCAGAGGCTGTTGAACAAGCTCTTGTCCCAGAGTTCATCCTGTTTGGGGAGAAACTTCTCATTTATTTAACAGATACTTATTGAGGACCTTTAATGCACGAGGCACTGTTCGGACCACTGCAACAAAAGTGGCAGGTGACAGAGACAGATGAGGTCCCTATTGCACAGGCTAGTGGAGGACTCAGATGTTGATGGGATCATCATATGGCCTCAGGAAGGAGAGGCTGTCTGAGAAGCTAGGCAGTCCATGATCTCATCCCACAGAGTCCTGGGCTAGGTTTTTAGCCACAACTCCACCTGCCAGCCTTTGACCCTCTGCCTGGACAGCCCTTTCCCCTCCTCGGTACCGTCATGGGAGATTCTCCCATTCCTCAAAGCTCAGCTTAATATCAGTTCATCCTGACACCTTCTCTAGCCCCAACTCCCACCACTGTCTCTGTTACTTGCTTGCCCTCACCACTTGCTGCTCTGCCAGCAACACCTTATGTCACTTATGTCCCTTTAGTATATTATTTCTCTTTTGCCAGTCAGGATACAGAAACCTAGAGTGGGATGTAACTTTCCAGGAACAGAATTCCAAGCTCTCCAGCCCGGGGGGTACCACATCTGGAGAGGTTGGAGACCGGGCTGGAGACAGCAGCTTTCCTCTTTCTCAGGGGCCCGATCCATCATAGGACACAGCTGGCTCTCAAAAATTCCTTCCTTCCAGCTTAGGTCTTAAGGAGTAGGGCCAAGGGTGACGGTGTGGGCAGGGCTGGAGGGGCCCCTCCTCGTCCCACCCCCCAGGGTGGAAGTAGGCCCAGCTTGCAAATGCCTGGCATGGCATCTGCCTGAGTCACATCCCAAAGGCAGGGATGGGCATGGGAACCACAGGCTGCCCCCACTCTGCATACATACACATACCCTCCAGGTGGTTCTGTTTAGAGTCACAAGGGGCCTGAAATCACTGCTGGACCCCCTCCCACACTTCTCATATGCCCTGTCTGCCTGGGGAGGCCACACTGAGGGCAGCCCCCCAGGTACCCTGGAGGCCACCCAGGCCTCTTGCCAGTCTCCAGTCATGGCCCAGCCCGCCGTGTGAGCCAGGGGCCTGCTGGGGGCCATACCAGAGCTGGGAGGATCCCTTAGCTGGGGGCCCTGGCACAGGCTGTCCCTGTGGGGTTGGGAAGTCAGATTGGCAGAGACGCCATGGAGGCTGACTCAGGCTCTGCTCGGGCCCCTGCCCGCCCAGTGTCCACAGCTGCTGCTGGGACGCTCCTCTGGAACCCACGTCTGGCACACTCAGCCTTGAGTGCACACATGTTCAAACTCACACTTACCACCAATACAGACGCTCGTTCTTTACTCACAGCTTGGCTGCTGCTCACACATTCATTACGAGGCAGTATAACGTAGCGATTAAGACTAGGGGCAAGACTAGGGGCAAGTTACTTAACTGCGCAAGGCCACCATTTCCTGATCTATAAATGAGTATCATCACAGCACTGATGTCATGGGAGATGTAAAGAATTCAGTAAGCTCATCCATGTCAGCACCCGGCTCAGAGTAAGTGCTCAATAAATGCTAGCTGTTTTTATGACCATTGCTGGTTCTCCTGCATGTCTTCCCTTCCCACCCCTCCCAGTCCGCACTGGCCCCGCTGCTCACACCGCGCACATGCACACATCCACTGGTGCACACTGGCTCACACACACACACACACACACACACACATGCGCGCGCGCATGTCCCTGACCTTGTGTCCCCAAACCCTCTTGAGGGTTCCCTTGGCCCCAGGGTTCTCACACTCTGCTCCCCTCCCCCACGCTTGCTTTCTCATATACCCTTCTTACCACTCCCACATTTGCTCCTGCTCACAAACAAGAGCCCACTTGCTTACCCTTGCATTCTTCCCCCTTCCACACACGGGAGCTTTTGCTTCTGCTCTCACTTTCCTGTGCACTCGAATGCGCTCGCATTCCAATGCATGCACGCCAGCTTGCTCGTGCACTTCCAGATGCGTGCTTTACCCATTCAACTCATACTTGGATCCCAAGACTTGTACACAGACACCCAAGCAACCCCAGTGAGTGCCTCATGACCTCAGTGCTCCATCCCCGCCCCCCACCAGTGTGCATTACACAGCCCTCCCTACTATGAACATGGATATGGCCGCAGGGACACTCCCCTCACCCTCACAGGACTACCTTCTCCTGGACTGCTCCCCGTCTCCAGTCTCAGCTCCCCAGCCCTTCCCAACTCTCAGAATAGCCCCTGCCACTGCGGCCACTGCCACTTCCCCGCTGCCACTGCTGAGCTGTCAGGGCCCGCCAGAGCCCGCTTCCCCAGTGCTTGGTGCCAGCTGTCCCAGCTCACTCGGGGCAAGTGAGGACAGGAGGACGGGCTTCTCTGAGGTTTGATGGGCATAGCTACTGTGCACCCCCCAGAACCTCTTCCAGAGCTCATCTAGAAGGAAGTAAGCTCTCAGGGAAGACCACTGCCACTGGCCCAGCATTCTCCAAGTCCCCAGAGGGTATTGCCTGTGTCCCCTGATTCTCATACCACCAGGTGAAGCCTGCTTCCCCTTCCTGGCTCAGACAAACCAAGGTCTGAGGAGGAAGGGGTTTGCTTGAGGCGACACAGTGATCTGGAAGCAGAGCCAGACCAGGTCCAGCCATGCCTAGCCCCTCACAGGAGGACTGAGGAGGACCCTTCCCTAAACCACACAGTCATTATCAAGAACCAGCCTCCTGCCCCCACCTTCTGGTGCCGAGCAGATCCTGGTTGACATTTGATGCCACAGTTGTCAGGAAAAAAGAATAGCACAGGAGTGATGTCTGGGGACGCCTCTGGAGGGGAGGGGCTGGTGCCCAGAAGAGGCCTCCAGGGGTGGAAATGGGGAGCATCTGCAGAAGCCAGAGGGGACATCAGGACAGCTGGGAGAGCCTCCAGAGCAGGCTCAGGCCTGGCCCAGGGACAGTGTCAGGGAGTGGGTGGGGCTGAGCTGAGGCTGTGTGGTAGAGCAGCAGGGGAGGGCCCTCCTGATGGGACCCAAGCCTCCTTGAGCTGCCTCCACCGTCCCTGCCTGGGGCAGAGAGCTCTCTGGCTTTGGGCAAGCAGCTTAGACCAGTGGCTGCCGGGTGCCCAAGGACCTGGTGTTCTCCTGGGCCAGAAGGCTGTGCCACACCGACAGGGAAGACAGGGCTGATATGGGCTCCTCTTCCAGGCCAAGCCTGTTCTGCCCACTGTGCCATTCAACCCTGTGTCTTTATCACCGTAAGTTGTATGGAGTGCTTACTGTCAGCCCCTGACACATATTATCCAGAAGAATCTGACCCCTTGGGAGCAAGACCTTTTTGCCTATCTTATTCGCTGCTGTGTCCCCAGGACTTAGAGCAAGGGCTGGCACGGAGACCATCAACACATGTTTCTTGAATGACAGAATGAGCCCATTTCATTCTCCCAATCACTGAGAGCCAGTGACCATGTTTCGCTTTCTCTGGATGAGGAAAGAGGGTCAGAGAAGGGAAGTGAGTGGCCTCCCACTAGAGCCCAGGTTTGTTCCTTGCATTGTACCTGGAGGCACCTAGGGCCTGGGGGCAGATCCTTTCCCTTCTGGGATGCCTCACGGGGCCTCCGACAGATGGTTGTCGTCACCCATGGAGGGTGATCAGGACCACACGTGGAAGGTGGAGCCCGGAGCAAATGTCAGACAAACACGTGTCCCCTCTGTCCTTCTCCCCCATGTGTTTGCCCTGATATTATAAATGGCAACACGACCACGTCTGGGATCCCTGAGGCCTGCACGTCATCCTCTCTCCACGAGATAGGAAGGAGGCGTATTCGTTTGCTAGGGCAAAAGCTCCAAAGTGGCTTAAAACAACCAGAATATTGTCTGAAGGCTCTGGAGGCTGGCAATCTGAAATCAGGGTGCTGGCAGGGCTGTGCTCTCTGAAGGCTCTAAGGGAAAACCCTTCCTCCCTCTTCCGGTCTTTGCGCGTCACCAGCAAGCCCGGTGTTCCTGGTCTTGTAGACACATCGCTCCAGCCTCTGTCTCCTTCTCCATGCTGTCCTCCCTTGTGTCTTCTCCAGG